GTATCGCTCTTTTGGAACTTTTTCATCACTTTTTAATATTGAATCGTTAAATTACGTTAAATGCAATTTTATTTTCAGTTAACCCATCTTAAACTTGAGAGTGGTCTCGAGTACACCTTCAGTGAAAACGCAGAGTGTGGAAATGTTGATTAATAGCATTAAACTATCTATTCACGAAGAGTTAACTGAAAATTCAACTTGATTTTACGTTAGCATTCTATAATAAAAGGTAATGAAAATGCCCACAGAAGAGCGATCCATCCCTTGGAATTTTCAAAACTCTTCTCCGAATTATTTTGAAAGTGTACCCCCAAAACTTGATTGATTAGTTAATTTACGCAAAATTCCAATGAAACTCACTATTGAATTCACTTTCAATTATGTTTCGAATTTCCTCAGAATTCAATACACTCAAAACTTCCTTTGAATTTTCATCATAACTCTCTATTCATTGGGATTGTATCTGGAATCCTCATCACAATCGTCATGGAATTTCCCAAAGACCTACATAAAATTTCTACTCTGAACTTAAACTTACACAGTTAACTTCTAGTCAAATTCTTTTAACAATTAACTTCTAGTCAAACTCTTTTAACAATTGAATTCTAGTCAAACTCCGCAGGAATTTTTCACTGAAGTACCTTGTTATATATAGAATTTATTCCAAAATCTCTTTAAAATCCCTTTGGAAATTTCATCTAAATTTTCATAATAATTCTTCAAAGAGACTGTATCCTGAAAATCTAGTCAGCCCAACTGCATTGAATTTTTTTCGAAGTGTGTTTTTCCCCTATTAGTCATTGAAATTTTCAAAATTTTCCGATTTCCCGATACATTGGTCACTCTGACTTCCTGTAATAACATGTTTTAAATCCCAATTATCTCACACTCTAAGGGGTGAGGGGGTTTCAGGGCCCGAGGAAACAACCCGCGATACCCGTTAGAGATGTCTTGGCGAGCCGAGACCTCGACTATTTGAATTTAATTTATGTGTTTTTAAAACGGATAGATTTGAGGATTTAGTAGTTAGTGTCATCTTGTGTTCTCCCAAGTTGTTAGCTGCCGATCGGTGTACCCCCATGTTTGTCTTTTTCATTAAAGTGTCCCCTAGTTCGAGATCAAGAGCACATTGCTTTCCAAACCTTGTGTTCATAATCCCTACCCTGCCATCCATTTGTTACAATTTGTCACCCCTAACCTCGAGATTGCCGCGAGTAATCGGCCCCCGCTTTACTAACGTTAGTTTTAAGTAATTTTTTCATCTAATCAATGAATATCGGCTCCGCAAAGCTACAGCAAATGAGCCTGGAAAAATAAACGAATTATTAAAAAAAGGGGGTGAGGGGGCTGTAAGATTCTGTGACAAGCAATACATTAGGTATAGGAAAAACATTACGAAAGCGAGAATGTGAGTTATGTTTTCTCCTAAAATTCTTTTTTTTCGGGTGCCTTGATAGATTGTGTCAATGGTGGTGCGCAATAGCGACAGCCTAAAAGATGTGTGATATTTGTGCCGCAATGGTACGCTTGCTCTTATCCTGATTGGAAATCATGGTAGATCCTTCCGAGGGTCATTCTATGTGTCGTCGTCTCTCCGGATTTAAATGGTGATATTGACTCACGATCAAGTGTTCGTAGTAGTCGTAGCGGTTTGTATGTAGTGATATCAAGGGCTCGGTGGCCTAGTGATGACCGTTTTGCATACTGAGAAGAGGATCATGGGTGTAATTTCAGGAGGTCACACATCAAGGAGGTGCTTTCTCTTTAGTTTCGAAACACGGCCGCATGATTTATCAAATCGATTCCATTTCAATAGCGTCATGCCACCGGGCTTCAACAATGCGATCGTTCTTAATGGTTTGTTGTAATGTGAGAAGCTCGATGACTTAGTAGCAACCGTTTTTGCTTATTGAGCAGAAGATCATGCGTTAAATCTCATGCTCCTTTCTATTAAAGATTTTTTGTAGAAGAGAACGTAGAAAACCAGCTACTGATAGTACTCGGTTGTTGCTGGTGGGAACACAATTCTGCTATCGTTGAAATACGACGTAGTTGAGTTCTGTCGGGAATTTTCTTTTTTTTTGTGCTCTATTAGAGTGATTTTTAACCACTTCTGGACTAGTTCATCACCAGTTCTGTCGGCGGGGATATAATTCCATTTAATTAACTTTATGTTATTAGTCTTAAACGATCGTCGTTTGTAATGGTTTGTTGTGATGAAGGAGCTCGGTGGCCTAGTGACGACCGGTTTGCTTACTGCGCATAAGATTGTGGGTTCGCCCTTTTTTCATGACATAAGCTTTTATTAGGCCTTAAAAAATTGCAAATATTATAAAGGTGAATCTTGATCCAACAAATCCTACGGACTAACAAAATCCCCCCCCCCCCCCCCTTAGAGCTGCTCATAAACCACGTAAAGGGTGAGAGTTTTGTCGCGGAAGGGGAGTCTAAAACCCCTAAAAATGGTAGTTTATGAACAGCCCCTTAAATGGGGACGCAGAGGTAAACGGTCTTCAGAATTTTTTTGGAATTAGTTCTATAATCCTCTTTGAATTCTGAATGCTTCATATCAGAATTCGCTTAAATTTATCTTTATAATTGATCATTTTGTCAAGTTTCTGCATTCATGTTCCATCAGATGTCACAGCTGTTGTTTGCGGTGACATCTATCGGAAACTAGACACAATCTATTTTCCTATAATTGTTCACAGAGGACACTGCAGTGCAAAACATGTCTGGTACCTCTATATATGCATTTAGATTATTATTCGAAGTCCCTCCTTTTTTACACATTCTGCACACAAAATAGCTCACCCCTCACAGAATTTCCCGCCGAATTTTATGTATGGGGCGGGGCATAAAGTATCTTTTGCGCAGAATATGTAAAAAAAGAGGGACTTCAAATGTTAATGCAAATGCATATATAGAGGTACCAGACATGTTTTGTAGTGTCAGGTACTCTATTTTGTAATCTGTGAAAGGGAAATCAGAAATCGAGTGTCAACAAAATACATGGCATGTTGAGAGATTGAGCTCGTGGGGACTGGTAGTAAACCAGGTAAAATTGTATGGGGAAAAATCATTTTTATTTAATTGTAGCTTGTTTAACAATAATTTCCGGGAAAAAAACTGAACGACATAGTCCCTGATTAATTTCTTTAGGTTGTCGCTCACTTTTTTTCACCTGAATATGCACCGAAAGCGAATTATTCCCACTTCTCTCAATTTCTATATGGGGATTTTTATCAATTCCTACCAGCGGAACAGCGCCATCTCTGTGGAAAATGGTCGAACAAAATGATTAATTATCTTTAAACTTAAATTCCTTAGAAGTTCCTTGTAATAAATCTCAAAACTCCCCTAGACCGTAAGGTCTCTAAACTTAGCTCGTAAGGCGTTTGAGCTCGATTAACACTTAAAGTTAACCCATCAGGTCTCTGAGGTTGATCCAAGAGATATATGGGGTTAACTTATCTCTGAAGTTCTCCCAATAATATCTCTAAAGTTTCCGAAACAGGCTTTTGTAGTTAACCAGTAAAGTCTTTGGAGATGATGACTAACAAGGTATCTGGAATTAATAACTATGACCTTTTAATTATTACTCAATTTTCCTTAGTAACTTCTTCATGAGAGTGTGGAACTTTTCAATCGTATTTCTGATGATTAAAAAGCAAATAAATAGCTTGGCGTTGTACAAGCAAATAATGGTTGCTCTTGTGTAAAAAACCAATACCTTCAAGAGTTTATTTGTGGAGCCTCTCAACCAGAGAAAATCAGAAGCCCATACACGACTATAGAAAACGCCCCAAATTTGAGTTTAGTTCACCCATAATCGCCAAAATTGCACGAACTCAACGATGAGTAAATTTGCCTCATGTTTTCCTGTGGAAAAACTAAAAAATCTACCGGAAAATGAGGAAAATTGACGAACATTTTACTCAGTGTAGGAGTTTTACCAATAGAGTGAGAGAATCCAATCTTTACTTTTCAAATATTCGGGAATTATTTCCTGGACAAACCTAGAAAAAAAACATGAGGCAAATTTGCTCATTGCTGAGTTCCTGCACTTTATGTGATTTATGAGTTAACTAAACTCAAATTTGGGTCGTTCTCATTGGCCGTGTAGGAGACGTTCAGGGACGCTTCTGCATTCATCAGGGGATCTTCAGAAAACTTTCAGGAAACCGTGAGCAACTTTTTGGGCAGTTTATCGAATTGCCTTCCTGGACATTTCCACGAAATCGAAAAGAAAAAAAAAGTTTCTGATGGTCCCAGGTGTTCTTTTGAGTTACTTTCCCTGGGAAGCTTAAGTGTAAACAGTGTTGGCACCGCTCTCATACACTCTCAATATCACGCTTGATAATGGAACAAAGTGGAAGTGACGGTAGTTTCGGGTCGCGTTCGGATGTAAAGCAAAAATCATAAAACTTAATCTCATCACTCACTCACGCCAAAGTCACGAGTTCAAATCTCACCACCGGACAAGTCACGAATGACCCAAGAGCGTTAAAGTGACTATAATTCTCATCACTGTTTGGTAAGAATTGTTACATTAGCTGATGAGTTTTGTTAGCTTGATATTCATAGCTTGTAATATCATCCGCATTGGCTTGCTTGTTTGATTTTTGTCTACTAAAATCAAGCGTGATCTTGGGCATTGGTGAGATTTGATTTTTTAATATTTCCCCTTATTCTGCGAGTCACGTGACTCTCTGTCACCGGTGAGGTGACAATTGTCACCTCGTGTGAGGTGACTCTCCATGTAAATCAAATGGCTATTGTCACCTCACCGGTGAGAGAGAGTCACGTGACTCGCAGAATAAGGGGGAGAGAGTCACGTGACTCGCAGAATAGGGGGGATTGTTCCAACACTGGGTGTAAATTCTTGAGAAACTAAGAGATCAATAAATGAACTTGTACCACTCTCTACCCCCTTACTACCACGCATTTGAGTACGCGACGCCGATGCATTATCCAACTAAAACCATGTCATTTTGCAGAACTCCGTCGACGAGATGGAGCGAAGGAAGGAGAAAATCATGTTACTCTCGCTGCAACGGCGGCAACAAGCCGAGGAAGGCAAAGCTCGCAAGGAAATCGAAGCGATGCAGCGGCGGGAGAAGGAACGGGAAAAGGAAGATGAAAAGGCGCGCAAAAAGGAGGAACAGTTTGCCAGGCGGCAAGCCATCCTCGAAGCGCACAAACTCAAAAAGGCCATCGAAGAAGCGGAGAGAGAAGTGAGCTACCTCAAGTTACGTAAAATTCAACAATTCAATAACTTTTGCGTTCAATTCAGGGTAAGACCATCGATCGGGAACTACTGATCAAGCACCAACAGCACCAAGCCCAGCTGCACCAGTCATCGGCCGGCGGAAGCATGCACCAAACTTCGTCGGCACCGGCGGCCAAGATGCGACCTCAGAAGCTCAACCGGCCGCGCCCCAAAACGATACACGTCGAAACGGGTTCGGTGGATCTGAGTGAAACCTCCAGCCTCAGTAGTCGGGGTAAGAAGGGATCCAACTCAAATCTGACCGGTAAGTACCCGCTAGGCAGTTTATTCTTTACGCGGATGTCTGTGTCGTTTTCAACCCCCGTTTGAAAAATGAAACACCATTCCAAGAGACGGAAGTTTTTGGTTGTTCTCCCCTCCCCCTAACTGTTCAAGCTATCAAGCGAGACACGTTTCTTTTATCTTGTTAATTGTTTACAACTTACTATTAGTTCAGTATCTTCCTAAGTTTAACAAAACAACCATATTTTCCCTCTAATTTGTACTTATTTCAATTTTGGTTTCATTTTCCTATATTACGTAACATTATGTTGTGCTTTTGTGTGCGTGTGTGTACGCGGGGAACCTGTCTACCTACCTACCTACCTACCTACATACCTACGTACCTACAATCATCGTAATCATCAACATCATCGGGGGTTCAGGAATCGGCCTGCACAGCTCGAACTCCATGCGACGAGATTACTACCGGGGATCGCAGGATTCATTAGCGATAAGAGGTAATGTATATACGTTGCTGCTGCTGCTGTTGTAGTAGGTTGGTCCTTTTAGTTTTAGTCGGTTTATTTCATTAAGATTTCGTTCATACTTGAATCCATTGTTTTGTTTATTTTAATTTTATTTTATTGTTAGTATGATTTGGTTGGAGTTTATGAAGTTTTGTAAGTTGTCTCGCGTCCTCTGTTAGTGTATTGCGTGCAGTGATCGTCCTGCGTTGCCGTGGAATGTAGTTGTTTAGCTTGTATTGTTGTAAGTTTCACCGACGTTATGCATGAGGGCCCTTCTCTATGGTGATGGTTTTTCTTATGGCTAGGATTTGAATAATTTTAAGGGATTAAGTGGGTGAAAAATCACAATGATTTCGTAATAAGTAAGAACGGCAGCTGGTAGCAGGTCAACTTTTTAAAGAAAGAAACACGTCAATGTCATCATTTTAAGTAGCATCAGGGGTGACATTAGGGCAAAATTGAAAAAAATATGTTGATGCAAATATCTTGAATATACAGAAAATGATGACTAGAATATGTGCCTTGAACTCCTTGAGTAAAGTGTAGATAACATTAATTATCAACTCTATACTTTCATCTCCTCATCTTTCGTATAAAATGACATATTGCGCATTTTAGCTTATTAGACAACAGCACAAAAAGCAGATCAATCATAAAATCAGAAAATCGAAAAAGTCTTATTTTTTAGGCTGTGTTCCAATTGATGAAGGTTCACTTAAATTAGACAGATGGGAAATTTTCAAATAATCCTGCTATCCCTCCAGACTTAATACTGACCGACAAGGAATCAATATTGACAAACACCTTCATAGTAGTCACCGCTCAGAAATAAAACCGAATAGTCGAGCAGTTGCAAATCTGGAGCAAAATAGTGCTCGAATATTCAAACTGTAACTCAGCATTGCTTTGGTAAATTTTCACTTAAATTTGACAGATGGAAAATTTTCAAATAACCCTGCCAACTTATTTCTGACTGACAAGGAATCAATTTTGACAGAAACCTTCTCGAAACGGCGCCGGTGGTGTAGTGGTAAGCGTTATTACCTCTCACCCCAGCAGGCCTGGATTCAATCCCAGTTGGCGCCGCCGGGATGTTCTGAGGCATAACATCTCTGATCACGCCTTCCTTCGGATGGGCCGAAGGTTGAAAGCCGTTGGTCCCCGGTTCATGAGTTGATGTGATGGGTCGATAGGTAGGTGTGGGAGCTGCCTTCCTGGCACGTCGGTAGCATTGGTGCTCAGCACGGAAAACAAGATCGACGGAAAAAACAAACCAAAGGAAAAAAAAAAGAAACCTTCTCGAAAATCGACCGATCAACGACAGAGATTTTAATTTATTTGTGTCAGTGTCATTTGGTGAATTATTACTTAAATTTGACATTTCGAAAATTAATTAAGATGTTCGAAAATCCCTCTGTTTTTGTTGATCGGCCGTTTTTCGAGAAAGCTTCTGTCAACATTGATTCCTTGTCTGTCAGAAATAAGTCTGCTGGAATACCAAGGTTATTTGAAAATTTTCCATCAGTTATATTTAAGTAAAAATTCACCAACACTGAGTTGCAGTTTGATTATTCGAGCACGATTTTGCACCAGATTTGCAACTACTCGACCATTCGGTTTTATTTCTGAGCGTGTTTGAAACACGAATGGAACTCTGTTTCACATTTCTTTGGATGTATTTATTGATGTTTCTCATAAATGTTCCGATAACTTCATAGAAGTTGAGAAGATCCAATAGAAATTTGGGAATTTTACAGACATTTTGGGAACTTCTGAGAATTTTATAGAAGTTCGAAGAACTTCACTTAAATTACGAAGAGCTTCACAAAAAAATTGGAGAACTTCATAGAGAACCGTAAACTGCATAAAAATTGTATTTTTTTTTAACTTTCAGGGAGCATGATTGAAGTTTAGGTAATTTCAAAGTGAGAGGTATTTCATAAAAGATCGGGGAACATCATCGTAGTTCTAAGAATTTCATAGTATATTACAGAACTTCATGGAAATCCATGGTTCTGCAACAGAATTTCATGAAAGCGCTTGCGTCTTTACATCAAGAAATATTTTCTCATATGATACCAGAAATTTATCCAATGATCTTCAGGCGTTCTAAGATCCCCATGAAGTCGTTTAATATTTAAATATCCAACTATCTAACAATCTAAATCCCATCTCTCTGCTATCCTCTCATATGATACCAGGCAGCTCAGAAATGATCACATGTGTTTTAAGATGTCTATAAAGTCCTCTGGATACCTTTTCAAGACTTCAAGTTGATCTGGTACTTGCAGGCATGTGCCACGAGGGAGGGCTTACTGTACGTGGTGTTTGCGCGTGATGGATTCCCGCGTACACCGTCTTGGTCTTTCCGCAATGGACCGATGAACTGTCGATCGGTAATGATAAAATCGAGGTACTTTCGGGACCTGTCTTAAAACACGGGCCAAGAAGTCTATCTTGCGCGCGAGCCAATGGTCGTCCTCCAGAGCACCAAAGGCGTAAAAAACCTAACATAATGAAGATCTCAAACTATCCAACAATTCAAATCACATCTCCCAGATATTCTCTCATGATACCAGGTGACTCAGAAAATATTCCAAAGACCTTCAGGTGATCAGAGATCTGCGAAATATTCTCAGGATCTTCTCATTACAATTCCATGGCGACGCTGCACGCTATTGAATGCTTCTGGATTTGTTCCGCTGGTCCCAGAGCAATGGCCGGAACATATTCCGGTGAGTATGGGTCTTCATCAGACCAGAGCTTTTCATAAACGTGCCAAACCCACCATGCGATAAATCAATTCACATGAGAATTCAAAAATAAGATCAATAAGAGTCATGATGAGTGACCAGCACCATGTAGACCACACCCGGACATGTTCCAGGTATCCCCAGGGAAGTGGTAAATCCTATTTAAATCAAAATCCTTCAAGCGATACATCAAATCACATAAGAATTCAAAGCCATATCCATTGGCGGTCAAACTGAGTATCGTAAGAACTATATTGGCCACATCCGGACATGTTCCAGATACCCTAGGAGAAGTGGACAAAATCTGTCTTGAGACAGTTTGAAATTTTAAAACTGTCGAGTAGTTTGAAACAATTGCGCTCACTCAGCATTGCGAACGGAATGAGGCAGTAGTTTCAGGTAGAGAGGGTCTAGTGTAAGAAAGGAGTGGACTGACTGTTTTAAGCCAAACGAACTATCAAAATCTGTCAAAGTTAGAGTCAATCGAGCAGCGCCTATCTTGATTGCGTTGGCAGTGTTGCTAGAAACCATCTAGGCATACACTCTTAGCTACAATTACCTAAAATTATCGATATTTTTTACTTTAAATATGCTATTTTTTAGTATAAATTAGGACATATTTAACGTCAATTATTGGTAATCCATGATTTCCAATAATATAGGTATTTGCACTTTCTTCGGTTGTCGGTAATTTTTACCGATATCTAGGTATTCTTTACCGACTTTAAGGTATGAGCGAGCATTTTAGCGTGTAGGTTGTCAAGTCAGTTTGATTACAATTCGCTGCGCTCTTATACTAGACCCTTTCTAGTTTCAGGTTGTGTTCCAATTGCTGAATAACTTAAAACTGACGCTTCGAAAATAAATAAAAATGTTCGAAAATCCTTCTGTTGTTGCTTAACCAGAAAAAATAGCCATACAATTACCATAAAATTAAATACATTTTAAAAAACGCCCTGCTCAATCTGGAGACACTGGAGAGCAGGGTGAATAGTGATGTCCTAGACAAGGTTACAATTGAATGATTAAATTTATTCAAGTGAATCTTCATGATCCAAAGGGTGCATCAGCAGTGCTCAGTAGAAGACTTACTAAAGAAAAATGGATGTGGCTTTGAATCCAAATTCCTGGGCTAATAATGGTAGAGTATTGGGATGCTCTTCAAATAATTGTAGACTTTTGTATGACGAAAGTCAATCTAAACTAAGAACTGCAATTTTAGTAAATCGGAGAACGAAATTCGTCCCAATTACTGAATTTTCGGTTGAGATATCGTAGCGATCAAGATGTAGGTTCCAACGACACGAGGAAAAACGAAGGTATGTGTTGCTTGAGCTTATTTCCCAGGAGATGTCGATGGCGTCCCTCCTTCTTCGGTCGCAAATTTTGTCAACTACTGTAAACAAAATAAACACTCAATTTATAATAGTGTGCGATGCAAATGCTCATCACATAATGTGGGGAAGTTCCGATATTAATAAAAGAAGTGAGGACCTTTTGAATGACATGTCTATTAACGATATTGACATATGTAATAGAGGGAAAACTAACTGGGACCTCTATCGTTTTGATTGAAAGAATGATAATTCAACTAATGACATTCAAATAAAGACGCACTCACAATTAGAAAGTGCTTCTGATGCGATCATTAACACAATGACCCCACCATATCATGCTAGTTGCCCTATCCAACATAGATCATCTAATAGGGATGTTCCTTGGTGGAACGACAAGCTGGCTAAATTGAGGAAGATGTGAAGACGATTGTTCAATAGAGCTAAAGCTACTTCAGATTGGGGTCAATACAAAAAAGGTCCTAACTGAATACAACAGAGAATTGAGACGAGCTAAACGGAAGGATTCGAGACAGGCATCAATAACGCTCCAGCAGATGCAAGGATGCATAAAGTTCTTTCAAAAGACCATTCAAATAGTCTTGGCAGCCTAAAAAAATGAAGATGGTAGTTTAACTGCAGACTCTTCTGAAACACTGGAAGAAATGATGAGGACTCACTTCCCATAGACGACTCCATTTTCACATGAAGTACAAGGATTTTGAAATGGCGAGATATAAATGGTCAATAGATGCCTATCAGAAAGCTTGTGAAATCTTCACGCCATCTACAGTTGAACCTTTCAAATCTGCCGGGAAAGATGAAATTCCAGCACTACTTCAACAGGGGAAAGAAACGCTCAACCCCCTCCTTACTGAACTATCCAAAGCCAGTGTTACTCTGAGCTACATATCAAAAGGATGGAGAAAGGTTCGAGTTGTTTTCATTCCAAAAGCTGGAAAAAGAGATAAAACGAATCCGAAAGCCTTAAGACCCATAATCCTTTATCTGTTCTGTTAAAGACAATGGAAAAAATTCGAGATGATTTTGTCAAATCATCAAGTTTAGCGAGGTTACCTCTTAGCAAATTCCAATTTGCTTATCAATCAGATAACGGCTCTACAATCGCTAGTTCATAAAATCGAGAAATCGCTTAAAGCCAAGGAAATAACCGTGGTTGCTTTTCTCGATATTGAAGGTGCATTCAGCAATGCATCCTACAGTTCAATGCGTTCAGCTATGGAAGCAAAGGGCTTGGATAACTGCCTTATTAATTGGATAATGGCAATACTCACAGATCGAGAAATATCTGCTGACCTTGGAGTTGCCCAATCAACTATAAGATCGGTGAAGGGTTGCCCTCAAGGAGGGGTACTATCACCATTATTGTGGTCCTTAGTAGTGGGCGAACTTCTTAAAAGTTTGGCGGAGCAAGGTTTCGAGGTGATTGGTTAAGCAGATGATGCGGCCAACTCTGAAAATCGCAAACTTCGCGTATGAAGTAACGTAAAAACACTTTGAATGTAACAACTCAAGGCGGGAGTAGCCGTCAACAATGCTGATGATGGTACAGCACGCAATAACCACCCTACTGCTTTCTCTCTGAGATGACCACGTTGGTCATGACGAGAGGAGCAACACAATAGTTGGGTAAAGGCATTGCATTATAACACACCATCGACTGGAAATGCTTTCGGCAACGTGGGGCTTTAGGTAGTGATGAAACGTCGCTAGAACTATTCCACAGCCGCAGACAGTAATGAGCAAAAGGCGGACGCTCATCTTTTGCCTGTAGACTTGAAGACATACTTCAAGCAAATATATTATATTAACAATATGATTCACTCTTTTGCTTAGCTGGCGAACCGAATTTTTAGCGATGAAAGCACCTCTGTGGCCAAAAAGGCTACCAATGTATTTGGTTTATCGTCACGAGGGGTAAACCAAATGAAAATTTGTTTAATATTTCAAATTAATGTATTTCAGCATTTTATTTTATTTGATGACAACAGTGACATGTCAGTCAAATTTTAAAGTAATATACACAATGTAATTAATGAAAATAATTTGACTCTTACTTTTGTAATAAGTGCTATATTCGCACCCCTCGATTGTAATTGAATGATTGTTGCAGACCTTTTTCAAGGTCTCCGCGTACATCGTACTGGTTAGGCAAAAGGTGTGCGTTTGACTTTATACTGTCGCATGAATGGTCCTTTGCTCATTTTCAACTTCTATTCAATTTTCATACTGCCGTACTCTAACGGAACTATCCACCTACCCTCTTCTAAAGATCATTAACTAGCTAATAAATTATCACACTAAAGCTTCACGTTAGCATTTACAACCGGCTATGAAAATACGATTTCTAATCGGTTAAAAACTGCGCTCAACATGAGATCTTCAAGTGGTGTAGGAGAGAGGGCTTAAAACTTTCACCAAAAGAACACAAGTTATGTTGGTACAGTCTACTCTAGATGGGGCTCAAATTGAGTTCGCGGAAGAGACTAAATACCTAGGTGTTACTTTGGACCGGAAACTAAATTGGAACTCTCATCTCGATAAGGTTATCACAAAGGCCAGGAATGCGCTATCGGTTTGCAGTAAAGCTGTTAGGAAAACATGGGGACTACGACCAAATATGGTATACTGGATATATTCAGCAATAGTTCGACCAAAAATTACCTATGCTTCACTGACATGGTGGCCCAAAATAAATGAAGTAGCCGCTCAAAAGAAGTTAGGAAAACTGCTAAGACTTGCTTGTATATCAATGACAGGGGCAATGAAAAGTTTACTATCTGTGCCTTGGATGCCCCTTCTCAATCTTCCGCCCTTCATCAATTTGTTAATTTACTGGCAGAAAGAAAGTAGGGAAATTTACGTATTCTCGGCAACCTAAGCAGCGACCTTCCTTCTATAGCCTTTTTCTCTATGGAACGCACACATATGCAGTATTGGTTTGTTTACAATCTTTTGCTGCCAGCTGCTCTAACAATTTCAGTCGAAAGAATTGTCAAAAACTGTTTTGAAACGCTTTTACAAAGCTCCAATCTTCTCTAGTGAGAGCGAGTATTGTCGGCAACCAGTTTTTCTTCGGCAACCGTTCCATTTGAACTGCATGTAAATCTGCTGTTCTATTATCGGCAACTCAAAATCAGCTACAATTTGTAGTGCGTGTGGTTCATTTCAAGAAAACCCTGCTAGATTGCTTTTTTTCAGTGGTAAAAATATAGTCAAATTGAAGCTGAAAGCATAAAGAATCGTTTGCATGCATTCAGCGAAGTGTTTTCGTAAGAAAATCCAGTGAAAATAGTGTTTCAATTTGGGTTGCCGAAAATAGTCTGTCATGCCGAAGCCGTCATTTCCCCTATCAAAATACATTTTTAGATTGCAATCTGGTAGGGCATTTGAGTATCCTTAAGGATTTCAACTTAAATTCAGCTGTCGATAAAATGGAGGATTGGATGGTTACAAAGACAAACTATGATGTTCCCTTCAAATTGGTTAAATCAAGCCACCATATATGGGAATCTGGTGGGCCAAATATACGTCCAGGATCTATTGTATTTTACACCGACGGGTCGAAAATGGATGAAAATACTGGAGCTGGGGTGGCATATAGTCCCACAGTTGTTCAAGCATAAATTCAAGCAATCATTGAATGTGTGAATATCTGCCTAATAAGAAACTAAAGGTTTGCTAATATCTGTATATTCTCGGACAGCCAAGCAGCAGACTGATGCAAAATTTGTAATTTTTGCTGCACAGTGTTCAAACGGTTTCAAATCGGGTCCTGATTAGCCTCCGAAAGTTTAAACCCATTTGATAAGAAACTGACTTGGCACAAACCATTTGAATTTTATATAGAAATGACTATGGGAAAACAAAACTGTTTGTTCAATGTCTTTTAGTCTTTTACATATTAACATATTAACAAATTGTATTGCTATTCTTATAGGAATTTTCTTTCAGCTACAACTTTGCAGAAAATTGTTTTTCAGCCAAACGTCAAATTAAATAGTTATTAATTGTTTAAGAGATTGATAATCTTATGGCAAGATTAAGCAACTGTATTGTGGGCAACACTGTATTCTGCAGTGTGACATAGTAGCCATGATTTTTGTCCTCTATTCTACGCGCCATAAATACCAATGTTGCCTGCTGAACAGTTGATTGAGCATAATCATAAGACATCAGTGACTTGAATCATTAATAACTTTTGTTCCTTACATTTGATCGAAAACTGGTCTTCAACAAAGTTGTAGCTGAGAAAACTTTCAACAAGCGCAGTTGTCATTTTCTAAAGTAGAGTAAACTGGTGAATTTTGAGATAGATATGAATCAAAATTATGGTTTCTGCATAGTAATTCCCATATAAACTTCAAATGGTTTGTGCCAAGTCAGTTTCTCACTAAATGATTTCAATTTTGGGAGGCTAATCATGGCCCAATGTTAATTTCTTTGAGCACAGTGGAGCGAAAATTTCAAGTTTTGCATCAGTCTAGCCAAGCAGCTTAAGGCGTTTACATGTCCATCAAAGCTAGTGCGGGAATGCATTATTTATTTAAAACCATTGGCCGAAAGGAAGGAAGTTACATTATACTGGGTGCCCGGTCATTGTGGTATTGAAGGAAATGATGCCAAGACATGCTTCTTCATAGGTCCGGAACCATTTTGTGAAGTCCCTGAGTGCGTTCTGAGGATGAAACTAAGAACTTGGGAAACGTCTACGGTAGAATCTAATTGGAATGCCACGGATACATCCAGACAAGCCAAAAGATTTATAACACCGAGTGTTGCCAAGTCGCGGATCTTACTTAATCTTGCACATTAGGTTAATTAATTAACCTACAAAGATCAATTCATCAATCGAGTTAGAATATTATGTTTGATTCTAAAAACTAGTCGAATTGAGAAGTACACGTAAAATAAAGGTGATTGAATTTGTGTTTGATTACAATACTCTCAAATATGATCTATTAAGAATAATAAATCCTCGGAAAAATCTAATGGTAATGTTCGATTGGCTCAGTGTCACTTAATTATGAGTGACATTTATTCATATTTGAAAAAAAAAATATTTACTCATCATATTGCCGCGGATACACTTGTATGGCCTACTATGAGCATAAGCATTATTTGTATAATAATTATGAGCACTATAGAACAACTATACATAAACTGTACAAGTGTGACCATGGATGTGCTTAAAATTTATTATACAAATAATGCTCATGCTCATAGTTTGTCATCCAAGTGTGTCATATAGGTGTCCTACGCTTTTGCGAATTAAGGTGAACGGTTCTCAAATGTGAGTCAAGTTAATTTACCGTGTTGTCTATTTATAATAAAGTCCATAAAAGCATGGCTGCCCTATCTTCCCATGCATAAGGTGACAGTTGAGCTTGTACGGGCCTTTTTTATAGCATTCGGTTTTACTGGTGTTGGTGTAAACATTATCGAATGTAATGCTTATTGTAGAAGTAGCAGCATTTCCCTAGACCCTAGATATCATCCGACGTTTGTTTAAAACCCCCTAGCAGTACCATGCCGCCTTAATGCTCAGTGTATCGAACCACATTCCCACTCCAGCATCATCGCAACCGATGTCACTGGACACTGTATACTAACCAAGTTGTTTATTTTCTTGTCTCTTCTTTTTCCCACCATCCGTACTAACTGCACATACCATCTTCATCGCGTACTATTGTAAAATTTCGCGATATGCCTTGAAAAAAAAAATGAACTCGCCGTCACGCTCTAATATCGCTCACACACCTACACCACTCTAGAATCACCGGATGAATATCCCAGTAGCAGCTCCACGCCGATAGGCCGACGAGGCTCATACAAAACTGGAAGAGGTTGGTGGCGGTTATTTGTTAAGAATAGTGATTTCCTACTTATTAGTTATTAGTTACTAACCAAACCTTCTACCTGACAAGTTTGCCTCCCCGTCCCTGTTGTATCTATTTATCAGTAGATTGTAAACAAATTCTTTCAAAACATTTGAAACGACCTAACACATCTGCATGATCCCCTTTTAATCTGGTTAGTTCACCGATGAATGACAACACGCATAATTCTTTATTGTTTTGTAATTTTAGTTCCACCACTGTCCACTACTGCCTATCGCATGCCGTTTGAATGAATCATCAATTTCGCTATCACGATTGCATGATTATTACTATCTAATTTGTTTATGGAGACCCAAATTCACTTCGGTCAAAGTATGGTCTATAGCTTTAAGTTCCGATGATTTATTCTTCTCTTCACGCACTGTTCTTCGAATTCTACTGTATTTACATTATGAACTATGTTTCAGTAACTACCTTCAATTTTCTCTATAGTTTTTAAGGGTTTCGGTTTTCCGGTTCTTTTGCGGTTGTCGTTCAAGTATAATTAAGAACGAATCCCCCATTTTATTTCGTATAAGTTTTCCTCTCAAGCAGATATTTAGCATTATGAACACACATTTAAACACACAAAAATACGCAAGTTCCAGCAGAGTACTACTATTAAACCCAACCCATACAATTCCGAGTACAACAACAACAGCAAAAAAAAAAAGAAAGAAACACAAACAACCATAAAACAAAATCCGTTGTCATTGTTTTGCAGAACCGGCGACGATCGAACGAGGTCGTACCTTATCACGAATCTCGCTAGCGAAAGGTGCCAATTTCCGGGGACGTAAATCCAACTCCCTGATGAATCTATGCGGTAAGGTTCTTCCTCCTCAATCACAAAGAGCAACAGACAATCAAACAAATATATTTAAAAAAAAACAAAGGTTCTTTCCCAAGTATTGTTTAACCCCCTACACTTTCCTACATTGCCAAAAGCAACGCACAAACAATGGGAATGCGGTTTAGGGACTACGGGAAACCGAGCGGTTTTCAGGTTTAATGTTGCTTTCGTTTTTTTTTGGTTCCTAATTGGATACGGTGCTTTGTTTCGTTAAGTTTTTGATTAAGATTATTTGCGCACTTGTTTTAAGTTTTCCGAAAACGTTTTTAGGTTTTATATTTTCTGTTTTTATCGGCAACATTTTGTTACTAAAACACGGTGTGAAGGGAACTAATTCAAACTTTGATCGGGTTGTTGTTGATAGCAATTGCGGTAAATCAATGAAGAGTTAATATTGCATTATATCAGTTAGCGCTCAACTTCCGAGCCAAGCAGACGCGTCTACGTTATCGGTAAACTAGTAAGTCGATTACAACCTTGCTTTCCTTTTTTCGTCTCGTTTTTCATCGCCGAGCAGTTGCGGTGTTCCTACGTTCCTGCGATGGTGCGCCGCGAGAACACATTCCGCATAGATTATGCGATGATGCCGGACTATGTGAAAGTGCAAAGTTTCGTTGGAACTGTCCTGGGCTTTAAGCCAGGTGAAGTGTTGAGAACAGGCTTGCTTCCACTCACTATAAATAAATAAATAAATAAAACTATAAATAAATGATTTTCTGATTTTTGAAACCATTAGATGTTATAATGATATTCTGTTTTTGTTACATACAAGAAGAGGTTGAAAGGCAAGTATTTGGCACATAAAACCTGTCAAATTCGCTTTCAAATAGTTACAATTAGTGATTTTACGACTCACGAGCGCTCACTCAGAGTGAACGCTCACGAATAATAAAATCGCTGATTGTAACACTCTGGAAGTGAAATCGACAGGTCTTATGTGTCAAACACTTGCTTTTCAACCTCTTCTTGTTTCCAACAAGTACAAAGTATCATTATAACATCTAATGATTTCAAAATTCAGAAAATCATTTTTTTTTATAGCAATTGAGTGGAAGCAACCCTGGTTGAGAATACAGTGCAGCCGGAGCCTAGGATGTGCCTTCGTGAAGGTTGTCCACTTAGCGCTGGCACAAAAAGTGTACGAAGAACATGATGGAAAACACGAAGTGGTAGTGGAAGGAGGGAAGAAGATCCCCCTGCGAATAACGTTGGAGGACGAAGCAGTGGAGGTGAAGATGTTTGATCTGTCCGAGGACGTGTCGGACGATGCGATCAGCAAATTCTTATCTGCCTACGGTAACGTCATCTCAGTGCGAGAGCAAATATGCGGAAGCGATCAACAATTTACCTTTCCGAGTATCTACACAACATCGAGTCGTGGGCAGGGTTACTTCCACTCATTTGCTTTAAAAAATGTTTTTGAGAATTATGAAAAGATTACATGTTATAATGATAATTAGTACTAGTAAGTTACAAGAAGAAGTCATGAAGTATGTGGCTGGCACATAAAACCTGTCAATATTGCTTTCAGTGCGTATCAATCAGCGATTTAACGATTCGTGAGCGCTTACTCTGAGTGAACGCTCGCGAATCATAAGATCGCTGATTGTGACGCTCTGAAAGCGAAATTGACAGGTTTTATGAGTCAAATACATACTTTACATCCTCTTCTTGTTACTTACAAGTACAACATATCAATATATCATCTAATGATTTCATAATTCCGAAAGACAGTGTTTTATAGCAAGTGAGTGGAAGCAACCCTGGTCGTGGGTCTTCATCGACGGAGAATCGACGTTTCTGTATTTTGGCCAACGTCAAACCTGCCGACACTGCCGAGAATTTATTCACATCGGTGCGTCCTTTGTGCAGAACAAAAAGTTGCTTCTTCAGAAATCGTATGCCGATGCGACGAATCAGCCAGCAGCAATGCCGGTAAAAACTTCTATGAAGCCGCAAGTCCCAAAATCAGCGTTGCCGATTAGGCAAACGTCGGCAATGAGATGTCCACTGCCGAAGCAGCAGCAGCTGATATCGCTACCTGCAACAAATCCGATCGTAACACAATCAGAATTGCATATTCCACCGCTCACTGTCCCTATCATACCCATATCGGGCTCGAAACAACCATCGGATAGCAGGTCGTTGTCCAGTACTCCTGGTCGACAACCTCCTGCTAGTGACGAAGTGGTTCACAAACCTGCTAGTGGCAAATCCGATGGCAACGAGACAGACGAATCGGCAATATTAATCAACAGCACACGACGACGCCAAACTAGAAAGCGGCGAGACGGCAGCGACGACGAGCGGGAGCAGAACTTTTAAAAATGGATCAGTTCACCAGCTACAACGTTGCCACTATAAATATTAACACGATTACCAACGAACCGAAACTCAACGCCCTTCGATCATTTTGTACAACAATGGATCTCGTTTTTCTGCCAGAAGTGGAGAACGCGCAGCTCTCCATTCCTGGCTACAATCTCGTCGCAAATGTGGATCATCAAAGGCGAGAGCTGGCAATAGCGCTGAAGGAGTATATACGCTTCTCCCATGTAGAGAAGAGCTTGGACGGACGACTTGTTGCTCTCCGGGTTGAAAACTCGACATTGGCCAATATATACGCACCGTCGGGCACAGCTATGCGTGCCAAACGAGAGATTTTTTTCTTTCAATAATACGATAGCTTTCTATCTGCGACCCAACACCGAAAATATACTGCTCGCTGGCGATTTCAATTGTGTGCTGCGACCATGTGATGCGGCGGGTTTCAATAACAGCCCTACGCTTCAGCCCACCATACAGCAACTGCAACTCAGCGACGTCTGGGTAAAATTGTATCCCAGGGCCTCCTAGCCCACTTATATCACGTACAACTCCCTCTCCCGACTTGATGGCATGTACGTCAGCCATGGACTCTGCGCGCAGCTACGAAATGCAGCCACACATGTATGCTCTTTCACAAACCACAAAGCGCTTACTTCGCGAATATGCCTCCCTAGCCTCGGCCGCGAATCTGGTCGTGATTATTGGTCATTGCGTCCCCATCTTCTGACAGCAGAGAACTTTGGCGAATTCCAGATCAGATGGCAATATGTGACCCGACAAAGGCGACATTTTCCAAACTGGATCACGTGGTGGTTATCGTACGCTAAACCGAAAATCCAGTCCTTTTTTCGATGGAAATCTCACCTGAATTTCATGCACAACACCATCGGCTGTATGTACAGCTTCAGCAAGCGTATGATGGATATCACCAGCGCACTTTCTCGCAGAACTTTATGCGACACGTTTATTACAGGTAAAAGCATAAGTACCTTCCAGCTGGGAGATAGACGAAGGAAAAAGACCGTCATAACAGAGCTGCGTGGCGAAAACAATGAAGTTCTAAACACTTCCGAAGCCAGGAAACCCATCTGCTCCGATACTTCAGGGAGCTATACACTGTGACAGAGGAAAATGAGGAAGCACAGCCCTCTTTCCAATGCGAGAGAGTGGTACCCGAAAACGACGAGAGCAACGACTTTTGCATGGCTCCATGGCTGAGATAACAACATCAGAGATTTTGTCATATATTCGCACATCAGCTAAAAGGAATGCTGCGGGAAGCGATGGGTCACCCGTCGAATGCTACCAACCTACATCCGACGTCATCCATCGAGAGCTGAACCTTGTATTAAACGAGGCTATGACAACGGAATTTCCCTCTGAATTCGTCAACGGAGTAATCGTGTTGGTACGAAAGAGATGAACGGCAAATACCGCTCGAGGATACCGCCCGAGCAAGCGCTGGATTGGAATCCGGCAGGACATCGCAGCAGAGGCAGACCCAGGGGCTCATGGCGGCGGAGAAAATTAAGCAAGTCGACAGGAATCTGACCTGGGCCCAGGTCAAGGCAAAAGCGAGCAGCCGCCCAGGATGGAAGTCTTTCACGTTGGCCCTTTGCACCGCTGGTGGTGCACAGAACCCTTAAGTAAGTAAGTATACCGCCCGATCAGCCTTCTGAATGCGGACTTTGAAATTCTCGGCAGAATCTTGAAGGCACGTCTCGAGGTCGTGATGAAGACTCACCGCGTATTGAGTGATACACAAAAGTGTTCAAACGAAAGGCACTCAATCTTCGAAGCCACTCTTTCTCTGAAAGATCGTATTGCACAGCGTATTGCAACAATGCTCATCTCGGCTGCTTGTAAATGGACATCATTCGCAGCATTTTCCCATCGAACGGTTGGTGCGACAGGGAGACCCGTTATCGATGCTACTTTTCATCATCTAACTCCACCCGTTCCTGCAACAACTAGAGCGACAATTCGGTCCCGACCTTATGGTGGCATACGCATATATAGTCACCATTACAGAGGTAATTGAATGCATCAATGATTTGTTTGCTCAGTTAGTGCCAAAACGTGCGGTTTTTAGTTTATGCGAAAACGGTCGATTTAAGCCATATAATGTCTTCGGAGAAGTTTGTGCACTTAAAAAGCTCCTTCTTTTGAGCTTAGCCATTTCATGATTAATCCACCTAGCAGGGAGATGAAAACTTTACTTATTTTGTTTGTCGAGATAGCAAAATTGTGTCTTGAGCAAAGTTTTAGACAATATTAAAACAAACATTGTTGCCCTCTTGTTTACAAAGATATGTAATTTTTTTTGGTAAGAGCCTTCAGAAAATCATTTTTTTGCAAATAACTTTTCAGGAAGTAATTTTTTGACATTAGTATATTCTACACAAATGTTTGTTTTTTTTTTTTTTTTTTTTTTTTTTTTTTTTTTTTTTTAATACGCCAAAAAGCAAGTCCTTATCTTCAATATTTCTTAAGATATTCAAGGTTTTGATTCAAAATTAGCACTATTTCCAAGGTCAATAGCTCGAAGTTGGGCAAAATTGGGCAAACCAGGTTGATTACTTATAGGAAAGTTTGAACATACTGAGAGGTAAGCACATATCATCGGTATGAGACGTGTGTGTGTG